AATTTATTAGAATATTAATTCAATTAAATAATAGATATTGCCATATATATATGCATTGATTATATATATTCAAAGTGTTTATGTCCAAAGTTGATTGGACCTAGGGCATAACACTTACACATGAATGGTATAAAAAGGACGTATTCATGAAATCCTACACTCTAGTACTTTGTCTCACTGAGGGTCCTGAATTTTGGATAAACAAAGGTAAATTTTCTATGGCTCCACCACCTTATAGAAAACAGCCAGGCATGCCAAAGAATTTCAAAAGAAGGGGACCTGATGAAAACCAAAAAAAAACACCAAAAGAGGCAAGCAAGGAATGGACACGAATAGCAGCTGTGATGTATTTGGCATAAACAAGTGGACTTGTAAATAAAATCACTAAGAAAGCAAGAAGGGAGATGGAGCAAGCACCAGTAAAACCAAAAATAATGGCAGGAACAATTCCAAAAATTAGTGGCACTGTGGCAGGATGTGGGGATCTTTACATACCCTAAGCACCTTACATATAAAATGTTGGGTTTCGATACCTGATGAATCCTAGGCTAGGATGCAAACGTCAGATTGAATTTCATAGGCGTTGGCCGATGAGTGAAACTGCTACCAACAACTAAGCTCAAAGCGTTGACCCGAAAATAATATGGATCGTTGAAAGTAGTTTAAGAAACTAATATTACTCACTGTCCATGTATATTTACCTATTGAATGACTTTGAATCTTTGCTCATTTAATCCTATTATTGGTCCGACTAAAACCTAACCTACTCCTATATATTAGTTACCTTTGCCCTAGCCGTGCGTGTGTGATTTGTGTGTGCATAGAGAGAAAAAGGGCTGCCTATAAGAGGAGAAAAACGTGTGCCTTGCTTGAGTGAAAAATTCCGGCGACTTCCTCCTTTGTTTTTGGTGTCCTCTTTGTCCCTCTTTCATTGTTTTTCTCGTGCTTTTGTGGTTTACAAATCAACACCGTAATCTTATCCTCTGTGGATAAGATTGAGAAACAATCGAAGTAAATATATTGGTTGTGGGTCGAAATCGTTTGTATTGGTTGTTTAGTAGAAAATGTAACGTGAAACTGAGCCCAAAAATCATCGGTTTGAAAATCTTAGATCGAGCTTCCGTGACATAAAATATGATATTTTCCCCCAAAAGTGTGACATTTCAATTGAGTTATACCTATCAACAAGTGGGGATAGATAACCTAATCGATATGTGGGAAAAAAACATGCTTCTAAGAGATACATATATGACAATTTTTTTAAAATAATCCGTGAACGTGTTCATATGAAAAATTCTACAAATGCTTTCGGTGTTCTATCCATGCAGTGGATTAACCAGTTTGTGGGAGCCTAAGCATTCAAGAAAACACGAATTTTTTGGATCATACTTTCAAATTGAAAAATCTAACAGCTTGTGGTAATTTCATTGTTAGTGTACAGAATTAAAGAGCAGTTCATAATTACCAGCCAATTGGGTTTCAAAAACAGAAATGTAAGAATACAATAATGATATGTCCAGCCGCAATTATTGAAACTCTCTTACTGAATAAGGAAGGCTTCTTCATGTAAGAAGAAAACTTGACTTGAAACTTTCTTACTTAATGAGGAAAGCTTCTCGATTAGGCCGCAATATTTTCTTATAAATAGGGGATCTGGGGATGCATTTGTAGAGAATTAACCCCATGGTGAAGATAGAAAAAGATAGATTAGAGAGAGATTTATGATATTTTGTTGAGAGTTTGTAAAACTCTATTGTAAATTCTATTCACGATAGAAATAGAATTGTTTTTTCCTCTTTTATCTTCTCTTTTCGTGATCAGAGAATTACAACAAATACACACCACAAGAGTAGTATTGCGAAGCAGAGGGCTCATAATAAATACATGTAATTGTAATTCCTAAATAGAGCATGCTCAAAGAGAATTCAACAACGAATCAGATCAAGAGTATACAGAAATTTAGATATCACAAACGCTGAAACTCTTCCCAAAGCATATATATCTTAGTCGCGGATTATGATTCACCATATGACTATTGTTGATGTTAAAATACCCAAAATGCCAAAATTGCAGTTGCAGAAAGGATTTTCGAACATAAAATATGGAGAAAATAGAGAATTATATAAAGACTGATCTGGATCGGGTTGAGGATTTCTTGGTATCAGGCTTGAAATTTTTTTATTTGAATAATGCTACTGCATGGCTATAAATGGATCTAATCTGGACCGGATATGACTATATTCCATCCGATCCGATAATCCAACGGATATTTGATTGTTAAATCCATATCCGTTTTGCTATGTTATCGGATATTCGATTTGAAATTAAAGAAATTAAGAAAGAAATAATGTTGGAATTAACTTTTTTTTTTTTCCAATTTTAGCCATTCTTAAACGGGTTTAATAATTATAATTTTTTCAATTTTTTTATATTTTGAATTTGATGACTTTTTTAATTCTAAATTTATTTATTTTAATCACAAATAACATGCCATAAAAATATTTTATCGACTCAATTATTTATAACAAATCAGATCGAATTGTTATCGGATGCGATTGACCTTTATCCATATTTGATCTATTTAGTTAACAGATTATCGGATTCGAATTTTAATCGGGTTATCGGACTAAAACTCTGAATCTATCTCCTATTAATTTCATCGGATTCAGATCAAAATTCAATCAATTGACAACCTATACTACAATGACACAACACTTTGTTAGAAACTAATTACTTGCATTGAATTGTAGAACTGTTAAACACATGAAGTGGAACTTATCGACTGATCGATTGATTCGATTCTCATGATAGCACGATATCCAAAAGTGAAATTTCTCGCCATTGACTGTTGCGACCTTTATGGACAATCATTCTCAGGATACAACGATCAAGCAAATCACTTGTGCAGTAATCACGAATAGTTTCAGAAATCTCTAGAGTATGAAAAATAACAGAATATGAAAATGATAATTTCGTTTTTTATGTAATTTTTTCAAAACCTTATATGCGTTTGTATAGGCAGAATAGATATAACTGTCCCCACCATAATATAGAAATATTTGCAATTTTAATAGGTTGTTTAAAAAGATCATTATACTAGCTAGTTTGACCCATTAAATAAATCTAAAAATGATTAAAACAAGAGGAAATTATACAAAACCAGAATTTTAAAGTTAGAATTTCAAATTTCAGATATAAACTTTATTTATACAAAAATCAAATATTAATTTATCTACCTTCTCTCTCTATATCATAATTACCCAAACATAATCCTAATTTTATCTTCTTCCCCTCCTTTCTCTCTTTCTCCCCTAGAAAGAAATGGCAGTCGTAGCCGCTTCCTTCGTCGCCAGATCTGTATTCCGGTCGTCTTCCGTTCGTAGCACCGCCACTAGGTTCTGCTCCCAAGTGAGGAGTCCTTTCCCATACAATAATTTATCAAAAATAACTCTCCAAAAGACAATAAAACCCCTTCCATCATTCTCCCATCGTGCTCCCTAGGGTTTGTCAATTGTCAATGGTTTTTCTCTGAGCGATAAAAACCGATCGACCATGGAAATACAGCGCCACAAGCCGATTAACACTGGCTCATTACCGGAACCGGAGTTCTCCTTCACATTGAGCAAAGTAGCGTTGGCCCAGATCTACAAATTAGTGGGCTTCAAGGAGGCCCAAAGCTCAGCCCTCAACACAGACATCGCCACCAGGTACTTGAAAGTAATCGCCAAGTTGGCTGTAGACTCCGCCAATTCTTGCAGCCGCACTGAATCCCCTTCCGCCTTCCTTCCAGGAACCCCCTGGCTCACCGCATCTTCCGGTGTCCAGCTGAGATGAGTTCGTGTGTGGGGTCAATGCTACCCTACCACAGCGCTACTGCCTCAGCTTTGATGACGTCGATGCTCACTGTCTTTCGTTGGGGTTACGGTTGGCTTCCTGAAGATATCTAGCAACACATGTAGAGCAGTGATGGTGACGGTGGAGCTAGTTCTCGACGACAGATTTGGGAATTTTTTTGGTGATGGTTGTGGTTTTGGAGTGGTAGGTTGGTGGTGGTGGTGGTTTTAGTGTTGAGATAATGGTTTTGCTACCGGTGGTGTCGATGTCAGTGGTGGTAGAAATTTTTTTTGTTTGTTGCGTTTGTTGTTGGTAGTGGTGGTGGTGGTGATGTTAGTGGTGGTTGCTGATTGTGGTCGTGGGGTGGTCATCGCAGTGTTAGTTGTGGTGTGGTTGTTGTTGTAGATTTGATTTGTTGATATTGTTTGGGTGACGGTGACAATGATTTTGTTGGTGGTGGTCGTGAGATGGTAGTTGTGGTGGTGAGGTGATGGTGGTGATTTTGAAGTGAAAAATTGTAGTCGTTGGAAGTGGTGGTGCCTGGTGAATTGGGGTAGGGAGTGAAATTAAGAGGGATTGTGACCAATTATTTGAGATTGTGACCATTAATTTGGGTATTCTGTGACTAAAAAATAACATGTGACCGATAAATTGTGAATAATAAATAATATGTGACCTAAAAATTTGAATGACTTATGAAATTTGTGATTTGTGACCCATAAATGAATTGTGATTTATAAAATTTTTGAATTGTGATCGAAAAATGAATTTGTGACCAAATTGTATAAAATTGCGACCAAGTTGTGACGTATAAATTTTTTTATTTGTGACCGATGAACAAATTGTAACTTATAAAATTTCTGAATTGTGACCTATAAAATTTCTGATTTGTGACAGTAAAATAATATGTGATTTATAACATTTTTGAATTGTGACCGTAAAATAATTTGTGACGTTTCAATTTTTTATTTGTGACCGATGAACAAATTGTGATCTATAAAATTTTTGTATCGTGACCGTAAAATAATTTGTTACATGTAAAATTTGTGATTTATGACAAATTAATAAAATGTGACCAATTATATAGAATTTGTGACCAAATTATATGGAATTGTGACTTTAATATATTTAATTAATAAAATATATGTTTAATTAATTAGAGTGTGTTTGGTATGGATTTTTGGGGGAAGAATTGATTTTTGAATAGTGATATGATGTGAAATGTGTGGTTGAAAAAAGAAGAAAAAAATATTGATGTGATGGAAAATATTATTTTATTGAAGAATGTGTGGTTGAAAATGAGAATTGATTTACTGTAGAAAATGAGAATTTTTACCAAACAGGCTCTTAATTTATAAATAANTTGATTTTTGAATAGTGATATGATGGGAAATGTGTGGTTGAAAAAAAAGAAAAAAGTATTGATGTGATGGAAAATATTATTTTATTGAAGAATGTGTGGTTGAAAATGAGAATTGATTTACTGTAGAAAATGAGAATTTTTACCAAACAGGCTCTTAATTTATAAATAAAATTTAAAAATATCTGAAATTTGAAATTTTAAAGTCAAGTTCTTAAATTTGAAATTGGTAAAGCTAAATCTCTTAATTATGTATTGTTCCCTTAAAACAAATAAAACAAATTATTATTTTAATCAAGGAAGCCCAAGAGCCTGAGGCCTCAACGCCCAATTAAATACTTTTTAATTATCACGTGGGATTTGAGCCGAACGCTCGACCTCCCACACAAATTCCACAATCTTCACTAATTGGGCATTTCATCTAATTTAATTATTTCTTTCACATAATATATTTATTGTATAAATATCTAACATACTTGACATAATGTTACGTGACATTCTATCATGACTGTTTAAAGACAGTCACCAATAATTTGGGGATTTTTGGGCAAGATTTGGTGTCGACGGGGGTTGATATGGCCTTTTTTTGTGTGGGTTAAGACATTTTTTTTATTATCATTTTTACTCCATATATTGTAGTATTTCTGGATTAAATAAACTTGCAATGTAAAAGTTGAATATCTATTTAATTCATTGTTACTTCTTCAAGAGTTCCGCCAGTTAACATATTGGATATGTTATAGATTTTCTCTCAAGTTCCTCTCCTACTAAGTGAAGTTTTTAATTCCCAATATCCAATACCATTCCAGCCGTCTACTGTTTTCATATGATGACGTCATCTCATATTGGTCATTCGCTCCAAAATTAATTTTTTAATGAGGGTTTGACCCGTTAATCCTTAATTGTTTACTACTTTTTCAAGTCAATATATAATATTCTTAAAGAATAAGCATCAATCAGATTGTTTTCAATATAATACTCGTACTATATTTTTACGATTAAACATTTAATAGATGAACATCTCACCTATATCTATAGATCAAATTTGTCTAAATTAATAAAGTCAAATTGAATCAAAAGTATTCAACATCAAAATATTAAATGAATGAATAGATTAATGTGGTATAACAAAGTATAGTATCACGTTTTAGCATTTCATTGTTCTTCATCCACAGCTGGAGGGATTGTTTTTGGACTCTTCCTCTGGATGCAAACTTCCTTCATAGCACGAAGAGATGTTCATCTATTAAATGTTTTCTTGGATCAATTCTTAGGAATGCTTTCTTATTTATGTTAAAAATTGAAATTAATATACCCATTAAAGCGTTTTGGCCCTTTTGTGTATAGTCGACTTCGTGGAACCGAATGTAACAATATTCAATTCTATTCAATCTGACACTTGACACATAACGCTACCGAAATTAAATTAGTTATTTCATATTTGATTTTTTTCTAATTGGAGGAACAATAAGTCAAACTAGTAGACGGAAAATATCGTGCAAAAATAGTTGTCTGACTCTCAATCAATCAACTTCTAGTATGAGCAATTTTCATTTAATCAATAGAAATGCTACATTTACAGCCTTTTTACACATACATTTTGACAGCCCTCTCACATGGGGGGTGGGATCCACAATCGCGGACCCCACACCCATGTGAGAGGTCTGTCAAACTTACTATGTAAAAAGGCTATACATTCAACGTTTTTCTTTAATCAATTAGACAATAAGAAAAGTCGTATGGATTTGACAGNCCCCACTTGGGCGCTATAAATTGGAAATGTTATTGATGTTGATTATTTATAAATAGTTTATGAATTTTGTCAAATGATATTTAATTTACCTTTAATCGTGATCTTGGAAAAGTCTCCAATATTCATAGAAAGCATGCATAGAACTTTAAGAAGTCACTCAATCCAATTGGTTGATAACAAAAAATAAAAAATAAAATTCTAACATATAGAATTTTAAATTAATTTGATTGGACTCGTCTACACTTTTTTTGAAAAAATTGAGATTCTAGCTGCACTTATTTGTTTATTTCTTTTCTTTTCTTTCTTTTTGTTTATTTAAAAAGATGGTAAATTCACCATTTTTATGAGGTTTTAATGGAGGAAATTGAAGACATGTATGATTTGCTCAAGACTTGATGGATTTGAGGGTACATATGCCAAAATTAACATATTAAAGACGATTTGAACAAAACGGAAAAATGATAAAGACTTTTTGTATCAATTACTCAATAATCCCACTTTCTTTTCAAAGAAACCATTTTTTCCCAGTAGAAAGTGGACATTTTCAAAATTGACTGGA